TGCCCTTCCTGCGCCTCGTGGGGCAGCTCAAGGTGGGCGCGGGCCTGTGTGCGCGCGGGGGGCGGGGGCTGCGTGTGCGGGCGGGTGTACGTGCGCGCGCGTGTGTTTGTGCATATGCATGTATGGGCATTTGTGTCTGAGCGCGCATTTGGGCCTGCGCGGGCGCATCTGTGCATGTACATTGGTGTCTGCATGGGTGAGCGTGCCTTTGTGCACGCGTTTGTGTATGAGCATGCATGTGTGCATATCTGCGTGCATGTCCATTTGTGCACGTCTGTGTGTGCATGCGCATGCGTGAGTGTGCATTTGTGTTTGCATAAGTCTGCGCTTGTGCCTGTGTGCATGCATGTGTGTTTGTGGCTGCATGGGTGCATTTGTGTACGTCTGTGGGTGCATGTGTGAGTGTGCATTTGTGTGTGCATGTGCATTTGTGTTTGCATAGGTCTGCGTTTGTGTGTGTGTGCTTGCGTGTGCATTTGTGGCTGCATAGGTGCATTTGTGCGTGTGCATGTGTGGATGTGCATTTGTGCCTATTTGTGTATGTGCATTTGTGTTTGCATAGGGGTGTGCGTGCGTGTGTGTGCACGTGCATTTGTGGCTGCATGGGTGCATATGTGCGTATGCATACGCGTTTGTGTGAGTGCATTTGTGTTTGCATAGGTGTGTGTTTGTGCATGTGTGCGTGCATGTGTGCATGTGCATTATGCATGTGGTTGCGTATGTGCATGTGTGTATGCGAGTGTGTTTGTGTATATGTGCTTGCATGCTTTCTGCTCCCTTTCAGGGTTACTGCCTGCCCCTCAGACAGGGAGGGGAAACTGAGGCTTGGGGCTGCTGTGACCCAGCAAGGGCTTCCTCCACTAAGAGCGGGTTGGGCACCGGGGTGAGACCTTGGTGCTCCCTGGCATGTGCCCAGAGGGGCAATGGCAGGACCGCCTGGATGCAGCACCCAGCAGGTAGTCCACAAACCAGAGGCTGTCTTTGTTCTCAGGTCCTGGCCTTGTCTAGGAACTATTTGTCCACCTTTAAAAGAAAGCGTGGGCCTAGCCCACCAAGTCACTCATTGGCCTTCAGGGGCCACAGGAAAAGGGGACCACAGAATTTGTGTGATAAAGAATGAAAACACCAGGAATGGGAGCGCAGGTCAGAGGTTCAAAACAAGCGTGCCAAGTGGGGACACAAAGAGTCTGGCCTTGTTTGGGAGGGCCGCACCAGCATGCAGTGGACTGGGACTTGCACTGGGGCTGAAACATTTGCCTTTAAGTTCCAGCATAAAAGCTTTGAGCCAAAACTTAGAGATACTTGGTGCCAGGACAGACACTGGGTAGCTTTGGCAATGGCCCTCAGAAGCAGAACAGCATCAGTGGGGTAGCTGGCAGGCAGCTGCAGAGGAGAAGGCTGAATCTGGACTGGCATAGGGTATTCAAATAGGGGGAAACCCAAGTTTTAGCACAGCCTACAGGACGCAGCTGAAAGAGATCCTTCTACTGGGCAAAGTGGGGGCAGATTCTTCAGTAGACCAGAGACCTGTTGTTTTTTGGTTGGCTGATTTTTCTACTTCACTGAGGCTTGAGTCTGAAACTTTTAAGCCCAGTTGCATTTCTGTTCTTCCATGCCTTGAGCAAATTATTAAAGCCCTAGTTTCCCTAGTTTAAAATGGGGATAATGCATCCTGTGCATAAGTTGCAGAGAATAATTACAGTAATTAATGTTTAAACAATGAAGATATATAATGCTATTCAAATGCTGAATATTATTTGGTCATGCTGCATGCATGCAGGTTAGGAAGCTGGAGAAGACAGCATGTGATGATGGGTTGTGTTGTGTGTATGGGTAATGATTGTTAATAGAGTCTTTTCCGAGAATCAGTTTCTTGTGCTTTTGAACTAACTCCGGCTTTGTAGCAGTACTTAGGACTCTCAAACACTGTGGCTCAGTGGTACATAATGCTCAATGGAGTGAATTTTCACTGGAATCACTTAAGATGGGTGGGCAATTATTTTAGCTGGAGGGCCGCTTAACGATAGGGGCTGCAAAGGTAGCTCCTCCACTCCCCCTGGTTGCCATTTTGGGACTGTGAGCCATGGGGAGTCACGTGCCATTGGGCCAGGCTAGCTCTATGCGGCCATGTGTGGCTCCGCACTGGAGTGCTAGAAGTCCCATGTGGAGTCGTGGAGATAGCCCGCCCATCCCGGCCTGATGGTGTGCGGCTCCAGCCTGCAGTGCCAAGAGCCTGACGTGTTGGCCTGGTCTGGTTTGAAGGTGCGTGCCAGCAGATCTGGCTGGGTAGGCTCTGTGCCACCACATGCAGCTCCTGGGAGCTGTGCACTGCCAGGGTGGCTGTGCCTGCCATGGGCCAGGAGCACCCCAAGGGCCTGCTGCTGCTGGTGACAGCAAAGGGCTGTGTGTTGTGGCAGGAGTCCCACACCCCCACCCACAAACCACATCCCCACCCCTCTATCCCCGGCTCCTGCAGGAGCTCCCCTCCCCACTCAGCAGCTGGTCAGTTGGGCACCATTGCACTCAGTGCCTCCACATGGGGCTCCCAGCTGGAGTGCTGGAAACCCCACGGAGGTGGAAGCACAGAGCCCACCCAGTCCAATGGCAGGTGGCCTCTGAAAACTGGCACCTCTTGACAGCTTTTAGAGCGGCAGCCATGGGCCACTAATAATTGTTTTTTGGAGGGGTCCCACAAGCCAGATAGAATGGCATGGTGAGCCGGATCCGGCCTGTGGGCCGTCTTTTTCCTTCCCTAAGTAAGATAAAAACTTGGAAAACGTATATTTGTAAGTTGATTGTTGTTAAATTTTTCCCACTAGCGAGTGCCACGAACAGGCTGGGTGTACAGGAACGTAGAGAAGCCAGAGAGTGTATCAGATCACATGTACAGGATGGCAGTCATGGCTTTGGCAACTGAAGATAAAAAGCTCAATAAAGATAGGTAAGAATACTAATGGTCATTTTGACTAACTCAGTACAATTTGAGTGTTTTAAACTAGTCATTGACAGAAATACCTTACTTGATGAGCTTTAAAATGGAGGATGGACACTGGAATACATATTTTTATATCCTTGGGCAAGGTGATACCTGCCCTTGGGAGATAAGGTGATTTAAGAATTATTAACTTACGGTGCAAGATCCACAACATGTAAATTACACGTAAAATATACTGCGATCCAGAGTGGGCAGACAGCCAACCTCTTCCAGCATAGCAGGCTGCTATTATAGGGCGCCTATACACAAGCACGGAGGCTGCTCCGATGCACTGGAATTCCAGCACGTCAGAGCGGACTCGATTAATCAAGTCTGCTGGAGCATGGCCGTTACTGCAGTCCAGCAGCATCCTGCATCATGTATCAGCATCCCCATGCTTTAAAATGATGGCGGGGGTGCTAGAACTAAAGTTCATTCAATGAGTTTTAGTTCAAGCACCCTGCCACTGTTCTGAAGAGCGGGGATGCTGATACACGAGACGTGGTGGCACTTTAATTAGAACAGCTCTCAGACCTGCTCTGATTAAAGTACCCCCATCCTCTCCCACCACCAGAGCAGGTGTAAAACTGCCCATAGTGTTTTGGCAATAGGTGACAGGAGAGCAGGTAGTAGTAGCCTGAGCAAATAGCTGCCCGAGGACAGTCAGTTGAAATGGACCAGAACTGCAGTCAGTATCATAGGTATATCAGTGTAACATGCTAGCATATAGTTATTGGTTTTTTTTTTAGCAGAAGAAGGACCAACTTTATACTGGAGCAGAGTGGTTTTCATTGGTATAAGCCTGCCCTCCATGTGTCTGCTCCAGTTTTATATTAGTGTAAAAGTATATTGCACTGGTGTAAGTACGGTCTGTCTGCACCCTTAGTAGCTGAAAGCAGCTATTTGGGCAGTTTAACTACATAATGGGTTTCAGCTTGTTTTCTCTTGATTGATCCTTCTCTGAAGAATCACATTCAGAGAGGATTTTGGAGAATTACATGATGAAGTAGAATCCATCTCTTGTATCGCTTCTGACAGATCCTGTTAGCTTTTAGAAGAAATGAAAAAGCATGTCATTGACTTAGTATAGAAAGGAAAACATAATTAGTATTGGATCATTTGCCAAGAGGCATATGGGATCATATTTGCTTTGTCACCTCTGTGAACTAATGGAAATAGAAGGCTCTTATTACTAGAAATTCAGGTTTTCTAATGCAGCATAAACTGCTTTAAATTACATTGCTGATAATTATTCCTCCTCAGGCATTATTCCTCCCCACCAAACTGTTCCCTTAGTCCAGCAGAGAACATACACAACTACCTTTTCAAATAGGCAAATGAAAGAGGGCCTGATTTTCCTACTTTTACATTCTGTAGTTACTTACATTTGCAGAAAAGTGATTGTAAACACTGACAAACAGTTTTAGACTGCACAGATGTAAATACCCTTGCAAAGATGAAGGCAATACAGCATCAGACCTAAAGAATGTAATGTGCCAAAGGTTTCTTGGCTTATTTTATGGCAGAGGTAGAGTAGGTCTATTCTTTTTTATTTTTTAAGATGTTAGACTTAATGTGTAATCCACTTCTCACAAATGGGCTAAATACAGAGACCTCTATATAGAGGTGCATATCATGTCTTTCGCCATAGTACTGGTATGCCTTTCAGTAATTAAGCAGCATAACTTACCCTTTGCCTGCTCTCTCATTCATTCTGTTCCCAGGCCTAGGAGTAATTTGTTTTGTCATTTTGACTTGTTTTATATATGGGTGTCTCTTTATTGCTATATTTCTGTTAGAGAAGACAAGGTCAAAGAAATGTGCCATGTCCTTGCAGTGGAAGCTGATGAGGTTTGTGCTGATCTTTAATTCCTGTGGGAGTTCATTCTTCAGTCTTGGGCTGCCCTCTGAGAGAGCTGTATGTAATAATAAAGAACAAAACAAAAAGCCTTGAGGCCAAATAAAAAAAATGGATTAATAATGCAAACTCACCACTGTGAACTGCTTTGGAATATATAGATGATAAAACTTGTTGATCAAAAAGCATTGTTACTGGCCACATTTTTTGGGAAAAGGGTTGTTAAAGCACAGAAAGGTTTGTTGACTTCGTTGTGAGCCATTGAGACCTACTGAGTTAGTTATTGCCTGCAGAATCAAGAAATCTGTGCTTGATTAGTAGTTTGCTTTTGAAATTTGCTCTGAAATTTTTAAGTCCTTACCAACAGTTAGAGTTAAAGGAAGCTGGGCTGTGCATACTTTTGTGGTTAATTGAGCTGTGAGTATATGCATATATTTTGTCCATTGCATATTAAATTTGGCAGAACTGTGTCTCTTGTTATTTGAGAAATGCATACTTTTTTCTTATTGTTTGGGTAGTAAAATGTATAGTGTTGTTAAATTCTTATGTGCCTTGCTTTTGGAAATGATCTGTTGGTCTCAATACTATTAACTTTTTTTTACTGTAAGCAAAACTTTTGGGTCATGGATATATGTGCATACGTAACAGGAAATAACAGGATTTGAAAGTATATAGGATGAAGAGCATTTTCCTGAGTACAAGGGTATTTTAAATATTACTTGGAGGGTACAAATTGAGCATTTTGTTAAGATTGCTTAAACTGAGCACAGCTATGAAGTTTATAAACTCATCATTTTATTCTTTTCTTTCTGTCAGATGTATCCGACTAGCTCTGGTTCATGATATGGCTGAATGCATTGTTGGAGACATAGCCCCTGCAGATAATATCTCTAAAGAGGAGAAACATAAGCAAGAGGAGGTTGGTATATTTACAGAGCACTAGACTGTATTGGCAGGACTTTATAAAAGTATTAAAACTGTATTTGTGGAATTGATCAATTCAAGCTAGTTGGGAGATATTCAAAGCAACATAATTATAGGTGCATATATTTGTAGATGTATTTTGAGACGCACCCCTAAAACTACCTGCTAATTTGGATTGTGGCTGTAACACCACAAGGGGCAGGGTTATCAAATCAGGGTACTTATAAGTATTCAAATATCAGACATGGGCAGCTGAACTTGCTGGATTTTCAGTAGCTTGAGACGTTAGAAATATTGCTTATGTATGTTCTTGCTTAATTTGGGTGGTGTAGGAGAGAAAGGGGTGGATAATCGGAGAGCCTGACAAATGTGTAACTGTCTGTGTGCAGTTATTTTGGGTGTTAATGCTTCTGTTGTCAGCAGAAACATGTCCAACATCCGCTCTCTCTCATTTCTGGTCCTTTGTATGCAATAAAGCAAAAAGCAAAATATTCCTTCATTTGCAGCTAGAGGGCCCCACTATGCTTAGTAAAACTTCAAAGGGTCTGAAACAGGAAGAATGTTACTATGCTTTCTTTACCCCTGTTTGGCTGCTAAAGGTTTTTAAAAGAGTAATTATAGCAACAGGTACCACACAAAGAGAAGTTTGAATGTAAAAGATTAGATGTTATTCAGATGTTTGCTTAAACATTATATTCACTGTCATTTTTGATGAACTTGTTTAAACTGTTCTTTGTTTTAAAAAAACCTGTTTTCCTCATGCCTCCTAGGAATGTTTGTTTCACTAGCAAAGGTCAAATTTTAATGTATTTAGGCACCTAGAGGCATTTTCAACAATACCTAGCACCTGGGTATTTACATGCATTTATAGGTACCTAAATATTTAAAACATGTTCCTAAATGGCCCTTGCTCCCATTAGTTCCAATATAAGTTTAGCCATAGATTTCACTGGGAACAGGGGGTAAGTGTCCCTAAATATTTATACTGCTGAAATACTGAATCTTTTTAAATAAATAATATGTGAAGTGGCAAGTTTAGGTATAGGTGTATAACTGGCATTAAGCTTGGTGGTTCTTGAATTGTTCATTGTTTCAGTAACAGGCCTTAAGTGTTGGTGGGGAAACACTAGAGAAGGACAGGAATAAAATTACTTAGTTGCAGCAATGTGGAAAGGGGATTCTGCTTAGACCAGCAGTTTGATGTGTCAAGACTGGCCTCCAGAATTCTGCTCTCCCTTAAATAGCATCTGTGGTTGGGAACCTCGGGCATTTTTGTATGTGCCTGGGGCTGCCGGACTTTAATTTAGAGCAGCTCTGAGAGCTGCGTCTCGTGTATTAGTGTCCCCATGCTTCAAAATGGCAGCAGGGACACTTGAACCAAAGCTTGTTCAATGAGCTTTAGTTAAAAGCTCCCACCACCATTTTGAAGCATGGCGATGCTAATACACAAGATTGGCTGGAGCACAGTAATTACTTAGCTCCAGTAGACTCGATTAATGAAGTCTGCTTTGACGTGCTGCAATTACAGCGTGTTGGAGCAGCCCCGTAGCACATGTGCAGGCACCCTCTAGGCCCAACTTCTGATGTGCATTGTTCTCCTCTTTTTCCCTATGACTGGGTAGTTATTTGTGGTACTTCTGGCAAAGCTCTGAGGATTTTTTAGATAGGTTGGTTTTTTTTGGTCAGTGTGTGTACTTTGGAGTTGCCTTTATGGAATATACTAATAACTGAAGGGGTGCATCCAAACGAGTGCACATGTGCTGGGTGGCCCCTCAAAGGCTTTGAGGCACTGCAGAATGGATGCAGTGCACATGAAAGTGTTCTCCATGCTGCACATTTGCAGTATGGAGGCAGAATTAGATGCCAGGAACTCCTAATATCTTTAAAAAAATTTAGCAAAAAAAGGAGGCACTGGCTAGAGTCATGCTCTGACTGCTGGCCAGGCTCTGCACACTCAGATCGCTGCCAGTGTAGCCCCAGGAGGCCCCCAGTGCCCCAGGTAAGGCTGTTGGGGCCAACCTAGGTGCTTGCCCCAGCTTCCTCTACCTCATCTGGGGCAATTTGCTGCGTGCCAAAGAACATGTGCAGGGGTATGCCTGGGGACAAGTAGCAGGGGCACAAATATGTGCTGCTGCTATTTGCCCCTGGGGAAACGTACATTCCTGTTTGTGGGGTTACGCCCAAGAAGTTTAGGTGTTGTCCCCCTATTCTATAAGCCTGAGAGGCAGAGTTGGTAATCGGAGGGTCAGTACATTGGACCCTAACTGCTCATTTTCCTCTAAACTCACTTCCTGACTTCTAGTTGGCTACTGAATAGATTCAGATTATTTCTTCCTTTTTTTTAGGTAAGCTCTTTACTATTATTTGAGCACCTCTGATGTGAAGAATTTGTTGCACAGTACTTTACATGTACACCTATGGAGAGATTTATGTGTTTCAGTTTTGCTAATGCAAGCGTAGGAGGAGGCAGTTACTTTGCCAGAAAATGAAAGGAAAGGGGTTGTACTCAAATGATGGCCAAATCTCTTTCAGGCAGCTATGAAACAGCTGACCCAACTGCTGTCAGAGAATCTCAGAAAAGAAATCTATGAACTTTGGGAAGTAAGTACAAATTATCTGTATTTCTGTCACTTTGCTGAAAATCCCTGTCTTATTTTGGTGAATGTTTGCCCAATCAGCACAATCAAATCTAGGAAATTTAGTTCAGTGATATGAATACTCTCCATTAGCCTTTTTCATTGGACAACTACTGTAGTACATAGGCAGAGTATTATTATGGCTGGGGTTCCTTGCGTATTTTTTTATTATGCCATAGGTTTCACTGTTGTCTTGTACAAGACTTGGTTCACCATCCTCATCTCTACTCAGCCTATTTTTAGCATATGTTACTTTTTAATCTTTTTCATTACACATACGTGCATAGTTTTGATCATTTGTCCTTGCTTCTACCTTCAGCACGATTTAGTAAAGTGGAGCTTCTAGCATGAAGTATCCCTGTAACCCACTGAAAATGCATGCAAACCTTTGGTCTTCCCAACTGCTAAAAAAAAAAACAGTCCTCTGAAGCACTTGACAGATGATGCAGTCAGCTGTGTAGGGGTCATTCTGTTGCCTTGAGCATCTCTTGAGGAACTAACGTAACAGGTTTGAACTGGGATGGGGTCTGTGCAAGACATTTTCCTGCAGCTTTGCAAGTAGCATTGTGTCCTGATCTGTGACAATCCTTTTTTATTTCCAGCTGTGAGCAAAGAGTGGCACTTGTTTCCATTTGTGCTAAAACTGTTGGGTAGTTTTGAAGCCAGAAGAAAAACGTACCAGGAGGAGGCCACCAAAACTGTTTTCACTTCATTTAAGGATATAAACATAAGTTAGTAGGCAGCAGAGTTTTTCTGGCACTGGACTAGAATGACCGACTTGTTCCAAGGCAGACTGGCACTAGGATCTGGCTACTTCCACAGCATCTTCTTACCACCCAGCTATGGCACAGCATGGGCAAACACCCCAACCCCGCTTCCTCCTCCTTTCTTCCACATGGCCAGATCCAACAGCTTCTCAAGTCATAGGTTGCCAACACCTTTACACAAATTACTGGACTTATAATGTGTAGTGTAGTCTTCTGTCCCTCCCCTTAGTTTGTTTTTATTTCAACCTGCAATCCTGCAGTAATCATTTTAATAGTCAGTAGCTGCCATCTTAGAGTGATGAAAAAAGAAGTGATTTCACACTTGAGGTATAAAATAATTTTGCTAAATCTCCAATACTAGCATGAAAGAAACTGGAAATGTTTACCTTCGTGTAGGCCACACCCTGCAGTTGCCACATAGTGAAGTATTTCTTTAGGTTTATAGTATGCTGCATTGCATGCAGTATCTGGTGTACAAGGAGGCAAAGATAAAATTATTTTCAGCTGGTTGGTTTCTCACCCCAAATTAATTTATGGCAAAAGGGCAGACCTTTGTGAGCAAGGGGAGACAGTGCTAAAGTTCTTACTTAGGATGCTACAACAGGAAAATGTAAACTTGAACGATGAATAGCACTTAATAAAACAAACTCGCACAAGCAGTTGAATAAAATAAGTCCAAGAAAATAAGATACGATGTTGAACAGCATTTTAAATTAAGTTATGCATTGACGTAAAGCCTTTGGCTAAGAAGGGAATCAAGGGGAAGGATGTAAAACTGTTGAAATGGAATCTTCAAATCAACTAATGATTAAAGCTTAATTGAAAATTTTAAAATGTAATTTAAATTCAAATTGATTCTTACACCACTCTTTCACTACTGTCAAAGTCCTGATTTTGGAACACAAAGCAATGAATGTAATAATAGAGCCAATTTTTAGTAATGTGTCAAACACCCAAATGAGCATGACAAGTTCATTATCTGAACACAACTGTGCTGGAATGACAAATCAGGATCTTGCCAGTAGATATGACAGTTCCACTATTGGCTTGTTAGACACAGAATGTGGTATACTGTTAACTGGTTTGCCCCTGCTTCCCATGTTACAGGAACTACAAGTTCTGACTGAGTTCAGTAGCAGCTCTGGTACCTGATTATTGCTTTCAAGTCTCTGGCAAAACAGGGATGTTTTATCTTTAATTGTGCACAGCTCTCATCAGTGGGAGGAGTTAAATATATCTGAGAGCAGAATTTGGCTCAGTATGCACTTTCATAGATTTATCTGATGATGCCCACTGATGTCAGTGACATTGGACTAGGATTATGACATTGGACTAGCTACTCCCACAGCTGCTGAGGGTATTTAGTTTAAAATAACTCTCACAGAAAGAAGAGACTCCTGTGAGCATTTTTATGCGGTTGGTTGTAAACAGAAAGAGAAAAGAGATCAAATCTCATACAGCAGGCTGAAAATAACAGAGTAGTCAACTGGTCTCAGGTTACCACCACAGATAGTAACAACAGAATTGTTCAAACCAGCTATAAATGTGAGCAACTTAAAACAATTAAACCATTGCACAAGAAATGCCCACACTTCATCCCAAAGAGCCTGAAATGAGCAAAACCAAGCAAGATCTTTTTATATTATGTATTTTAATTTATCCAGTTTATTTTAAAACATACAGTATAACCAGTGTTTAATAAGTATTAATGTCTTTGTACAGTTCTCAGTTCAGTTAAGCACTTCAGTACATGTTTAACTTTCAGCATACATCTTTCCTCCGCAAACTATTTAAGCGTGTATTTAAATCCCATGAAGCTTAGTGGAACTTTAGCACGTGCATAACTCTTAACTGCTTTGCTGAAGAGTGCAACGATGTGCTGTGAATTTCTGTGAAGCAGATTTTACTACTGAAGAAAAAGCTCTTAACACTGGCACTGTGTGTTTTAGCTTTTCTCTCTTTTAATTGCACATCTGTTCAGGAATATGAATACCAGTCTACTGCAGAAGCTAGATTTGTAAAAGAACTGGATCAGTGTGAAATGATACTCCAAGCATTTGAATATGAAGAGTTGGAAAAAACGCCTGGAAGACTGCAGGACTTCTATGATTCAACTGCAGGTATGAATCAGAAGTGTAGCGTTTGTCTCATAAACAGAAATGGGAGTGAATTCTAAAGAGGGACTTCCCATCATTTTCGTGACTACACAAAGCTTTTCGTAGGCTCCAGGTCTGTAAACAAGTGGGTCAGTGCCATTGACAATGGGAGTACTTGCATAAGTCTTTGAGGAACAGGGGTCACAATGTTTTAACCCTTGACTGTAAGTACAGGGCAGAAAGTGAGTTCCTTGTTGAAAAAGAACAGTAATGTACCAGTTTATAGTATGCTTGTTAAATTTATGATGAATGGGATCTGATCACACAAAGGAATGGAATGGATATTTCAGCAAAGTGGAAAAATAAGTCCGGCTTTCAGTATCACCAAAGTAAACCTGGAATCAACACAGTCGCCTTCGATCTGTTTGCCTTAGGCCTGATTCTTATTTAATGCAGCATAATGAGGCCCAAAAGAATAAATCATGTTTGCATTCACTCAAAGGCCTTTTAAGCAGGTCCCTTTATATCTTGACTGTGATCATATGGAAGAATGTGGGCTTTAGGCTGCAGTACCTAAGCTAGGTATTTTAAGTAGCTTGGATACGTCTACACAAGTGGCATTGACTGCAGGGTAAACCTACCATTAGTATAAATTGGAATCAACCCTGAGTGGACTGCTTCAGAGATGGTTGCTTTATTACTTATTATTTCCTTCTGTAGTACCAACTGCCTTTTGTTTACTTAAATCATCTTTGCAAGGGTAGACAAGGATTTTTGTGTGGTATCTTTTATTGTGCCAGCTGTATAACTGGGAGAGCTGTTGGACCTGTTTTCAGTCATCAGGTGGCCTTCACTAATTGTGACCTGAAGGGCACTTGATGCATGAAAGCTTGTCCAACAGCTCTCCTAACTATATAGTTGATCCAATAAAAGATATCACAAAAAGCCTTGCCTCTCAAATATTCCTTGGACCATCATGACTACAACACTCCAGTCCTGCTGCAACACAGGAAATAGTTTGCAAATTCTGGTTGAATATTTTTGGCCAGGGAAAGATCAGAGGAGTGGAAACATCTCATTTTGCCAAATCACTGTAAAGTGGACCTCCATTAAAAAAAAAAAAAAAGACTAATTAACCTGAAAGAATAAGTAAATGTTTCAGATCATTCACATGTTTGGGGGTATGGGGCACATTTTGGCCATTGAACTAAGAAAACCCAAACCCTTAATACTCGTACAGCTCTGTTCCCATTGACATTAGCAGGCGTTAAGTCAGTTTCATCTGCAGAGGAACAGCCAACTAAAATGAGTTTGGAAATATAAAAAATGGTAGCTGTATTCTTAAGTAATCTCACTGGTGTTCTCTCATCTCCAGACTCACTCTTGTGAAACTGGAGGTGATGGATTTACAAACTGCAAGAATGGAATCTGGAGCTTCATTTCCGAAAAGAAAATGGATCCTTGTAGCCAAGTGCTCTGCTCATTCACCACTTGCCAGACAAGTTGAAAGCGTTGTACCTAAACTAAGATTTAACCCTTTCTCTTCCCAGAATATCTACGCAATGTGTTTGCTTAGGCAATTGGCATGTGGCCACTATACCAGGCTATGCCACTTATCCATTAAACCATATACTTTTCATTTTAGCTCCAAATCAGAAAAACAGTTTGCACATACAACCGTCCCTATTCAGGATAGAATTTAAGCATTTTTTTTGTTATTAATGTGTGGTGAAATCTCATTAACTGTATGCATGTGCTTAAATGCTGCTATGAGTAGGCATGTTCTTGATCACACTCCCCAGCATAAACTGCTGTTCTGCTTTCCCCACCTCAAACAAGGAAACAAAAAAGTGCACAGATCAGGATAAGCCATCAAAAAAATGTTTGGCTGAATTGTTGAACAACTGCTCTATTCTCTAGCTGAAGTTATTTCTGACAGATCACAGTTAGTGTTCACTACTAATGGGAGAATTTTGTACTAATTTGTTTTGTAAAAATAAATAAATTAGGATTTCAGACTGAGTCTAGAGCAAGAATACAGCCAACTTGTTACGGTTAGAGAAATCAGAGAGCATAGTAATTGTTCCTTTTCTTTTGTCTTACAGGAAAATTTAGTCACCCAGAAATAGTTCAGCTTGTGTCTTCTGTTATTACAAAGAGAAATGAAAAAATATCTGCTACAAGTAAGCCAAGCTCATCAGACATTGTCTAGTGGTTGCTCCTAAAATAAACTATTTATTATTTTACACTCATCTTTCACTGCCACAGCATCATTAATTTAAGAAGTTTTGGGGGATATTTTTTCCTTTACATTTATTGGAAAAATGTAGATGGGATGTATAGGATAACTGCATTCTAGATCACAGGATGCTAAGGATCAAACACTATGAATGGGGCTGCTTTTTTATTAGCTTTGAGTGTTTGATGGCACTTCACTTGAAAGCACTTTATCCTGAAGACAGAGTACATTTCACTGCAGGCAAAACTAATTACAACACTGAATGTCATGTAACTCCTTTCAGTCACTGAGGAAAAGTCTAATTATTGTCTTTAGGCATATATCCATCAGCAGAATGTAGCCTAATAATGATAAATCCAGCTCAGAGAGAGAGAGAGTACAGTTCCTTCCTTGTGAAGTTTCTCCTTCTACAAATATTTCTATTCTACCTGCAGTCTAATGAAAATCCTCTATGTGCATTTAAGCCTAATGCATGGGCACACATTTATACAAGCCATTTATTTTTTAGAGACCGGTACATTCTTTGAAATAGTGTGAAATGCTGTTCTCTGACCCCAAAACTCATTTTGTGAAATTATTTAAAACTGACTGTTCCTCCGTGAATTTTTTTTTTTTTTTTTTTTTTTACTGATTTGACTTTTGGGTTGGTTCCACCATCATTGCATCATGTTGGCGGATGGATTAGACTGTATTCAGCAGGCACCAGATAAATTTCCATCCTGCTATTGTAACCAAAGCTAATGCACTAGGTTGGAAGGGAAACTGCCAAAGTTATGTTGGAGGGACCAGCTTGCTGTGAGTTTGCTACCAGAGAGCAAGGATGTTCTGTACTTCCCCCAGGAGGGAGCTGAAAGACCCAAGTGATGCACCTAAAAAGAAAACCACCTGAGGCGTCTGAAGGACTGAGGAATGGATGGTAATATGGTCTAGTCTTGGTTCTCAAGAATTGGCTGTTAGAAGAATGAGTATCTGAAGCAGGCGCAGGCCGCATTTGTCCCACCAGGCACGTGGTGCTCACCAGTTAATTGTATCCTGCTCAGTCCTTCCACCCATGTGTAGCGCCCCACCCCCAACTCCAAAATACCCTATTGTGCCTTGTTCTCACCCTCATGGGCAGAAGGGCCAGGCTGGCCAGCACACAGCTTTCATGCAGGGCTGCTGCAGCCCCCGGGGATCTGCTCCACTTCCCTGGTCTTCTGCTGGCTTCAGGCAGCAGGTAGGGAGAGGGTGGCGGCGGAGCTCCAGCTGGGCAGGAGTACGGAGCCTGGGGCTGGCGGCAGCATGGAGCCTGTTCCTAGGAGAGCAGCGTGGAGCTTGGGTGGGCAGTGTGTGGGTGTGAGGGGGGTGCGGGGACCCCTCTTCACTTCCCTCATGGCACGCAGCCCCAGCAGGCAGTGGCAGCAGCAGCAGGTGGGGGTGCTCAGGGCACTGGTGCCTGGCGGGGCGCAGCTCCAGCCAGCGCTGCACGTGGCAGCGAGGGGCAGCCTCCACCAGGCCACATGTACTGCCAGTGCTCCCCACCAGGCACGTGTAGCCCCCACTTGCATGGCACAGGAGGAAAGCCCCAGGCGCTGGAGCCAGCTGACTTCCCTACCCTCCAAGGAAAGTCGCCTGGCGCTTCCCTCCCGTGCCATGCGAGTGTGGGGGCCACAAGTGCTTTGCAGGGAGCACTGGTGTTAGAGGAGGCCTGGCGGAGGCTGCGCCCCTCACCATGTGCAGCACTGGCCAGAGCTGTGCTCTGCTGGGCACTGGTACCCTGACTGTTCCCACCTGCTGCTGTTGAGCCGTCAGGGGAGTGGGGGGGTACCCACACCCCACCCCACAATCCTCCACATATACACAGTCCCCCAACATACCCTATGCCCCCCCCACAGCCACATCCCCTCACAAATCCACCCCACACCCTGCCATATACACACATATACATCCCAACATACACGCACACCCCCCAGCCACATACCCCCACAGTATATAGTAAGAATTTATTTTTGAGTTATTCTGCAATCACCTCTATATACAGTACACAAACACAAATTATGACAAAATCATTTTTTGTAATAAAATTGAAATATGTTATAGCAGGTGTTTGACTTGTAGAACATGATTTGTTTTTTTTCTGGTTCCAAGATTGCAACCACCCCCTCCTAAAAGGAGCATTTCCGGGGGTCAAGGGGAGGGACTTTCGGTAGCAAAGGTCAGGGGCTGGGGGGAAGGACTTCCAACCCCAAGATGGTGACCAAGGGGCGGGGCTGCCCATGCGGCCCACGACGGCTAGCCAAAACACATGAAGCGGCCCTTCAGCCAAAATAATTGTCTGCCCCTGCTCTGAGGGCCCATGGTCAATCAGCAAGTACAGTTAAAATTGACTCAAGGAAGCAGGGACAGAGGACAGTGGTGCTCTCCCCTACCTTGGGGGTCTTCAAGAGGAGGTTGGATAGATATCTGGCTGGGGTATTATGATCCCAGCACTCATTCCTGCCCAGGGCAGGGTGTTGGACTTGAGGGTCTGTTCAGGTCCCTTCTGACCCTAGAAACTGAAACTATGACACTGAGGAATGAGAGATCAGAAGATCAGTTGTGTCACTATTCTGGGAGCTAGTGAAAGGTCCAAGGCCAAAAAGCCTATTTATGAAGTAACTGGGCACTTCTTTGCCCTGGGTGACTGCAGAAATGCACAGGGTAGCAACTGAACCACTGGCAAGGCAGCCACTATTTGCACCTCCCTCCTAGTCTAATTCAGCATCCAGGTCTTGTCCCCTCATCACCCCTCTTGATTTAAACTACTGCATTTAGGAATAGCAGAGTATCCAGAGGCAGCCAGGCTGGGGTAGGTGGTGCCATATTTGATGAAGGGATTTTAGCAGTGAATGGAATGGGACTGATCCAAGGCAGTTGTGTTGGAGGCAAATGCAAAACTTGTACAAGATCGTGCTGGACCCTGTGCCAAGATAGAATATCTGCTGGCAGGTCAGCTAACATGGAAAGGACCAGTTCCAGTAGAACAACAAAAACCTTGTATGTGCGGGTGAGAGCAAACCTGGATACAGGATTAGTTAGTGCTGTCAAGAATCAAGTAGCTGATGTGGTGCATGGCTTTCCACTATCATGGATTTAAGTGGTTGAATACAGAGAAGCAGGTGCTACAATGTCAGGTGAAGTCACTGGGATCTGTCACTGCAGTTTCTTATCCCTGCATTTTCTGGGCATTATAGTAGGCCTAGCTGTGTACCAAAAGGACATGAGTGTGCAGAGCCTCTCTGAGCTTTTATTGGAACCACAAAGAGCCAAAGCCCTGGAGGTGATAGGTGGTGGCAGTGCAGTTGCAGCTTGTGGAAACCTAGATGCTGTGTGGAGTTGAGCCTCTTATGTCTGAGAGAGCCTTGAAGGAGCAAGAAGCTTTCATGATGGGATGATAAAATGCAAAAGAAGAGGACTTCTGCAAGGAGGCTCAGATGGTAAAGCTTCACCTGGACTGGGATTAGGTATCAGAGAGAGCTGGTACTGGGAGAGGTAAGCTGCTATACTGCATTTTTTTCACTCGCAAATCTCATAATTCTTAAAAGTTTTTCCAAAGATGGAGTCCCTGCCCTGTGAATACAACAGAACCTTCTATTTCAGCCTTCTTCTTTGTTAAGGAAAGTTTGAAAATACGATGGAGCAAAAAGCCAGAATATGCTGTTTTCCAGAAGCTCAACATTTTTAAGCCTGCACTTTGATGGAGCTGGCTTAAAAAGTTTTTTAAATTTTTGATAAGGTTCTTTAATTTTTGAGACTGGCAAAATAGCACCACTCTGTTAAAACTTATTTTAAATCTCTGAAGCAGTATTTAAAGCAAGTTGCTTACCTGCACATATGTTTGGTATCGCTGGGTTGCTATATGCTGGTAAATCAAAGCAAAATGTTTAATATGGAAATGCCACTCTAGAAAAATGCTTCCATCCTGTGCAGGTACCGGGGTAGGGTTATACACAGTTAAATAGTTATGCCAATGCACTGATTCCATTATCTGGTTTACAGAGCTTTAAATAATGATGGGTAATTCCTATAAGGTGGAGTCTAGCTATAAATTATTTTGCTGGTATAAACCACCAGTTTGTGCAATATTTTTGATAGTTACAAATAGTTACATGCAGTATCTGCTTAGCACTACAGAGTTCATTTCAATGGACAGCTAAAGATACAGAGTTTAAGTAACAAGAGACTCCATTTTTATAAACTAATTTTTAATAAGAATAACACTAACTTCATTACACAAGCTATGTTGACCTATAATTATGTCTTCTCCTTTTAAATACATTTTCTGTTTATGCACAGAAACACTGCAACAGAAGCTGCAAACTGTCACAAGAAAACTATTTGAAAAACTAACTTAATTTACTTTTATAATAAAATAAATCACATTAAGGTAACATGAGTATTCACAGTCAAACTGTGTTTAGTCACATGGATTAAGGAGGACTTTTAACAGTACAAGAACTAGAACATACAAACCTCACAAAACAAAAAAAACTCGTACAGAAAACCAGTTGAAACTGGGTTTCCTAATGAGTTTTTAGCAAAATCTACAAGTCAGCATTGTGACAGCTGATTTGAAGCTTTGCATTAGAATCAAGCAAACTAACCCATTTTGAAACCAGGCCAAGCTCCCTTCCTGGCCCCCCACCCACCCACCCCCAGTCCAGTTTCTTTCTTGATGAGCCTGTGTTCATCTCAATTTGGTAAACTGGGTAATACAAGGTGCAGTGATACTGCAGATTGAATAGTGGAACTTCTTTTGCCTAAATTGGAGAGCTGACAGATCATTACAATGAATGCAGAGCTTCTCCCCTAAACATTATAGTACAATAAAAAGGATATAAGGAATTGTGGCATCTCTGGTGATTGGCTCAATGTTGTTTCTAATTGCTTAAAATCTGTCCTGAGATTCACTAATGCAGGAAAGAATATGGGTCATTGTTTCACTTCAACTCACATACTCATCTGTGTACTGCAAAATTCAGATTTCATACTAGTTACCAGCTTTGTAGGCTGAAGACATAGGCCCTCTATCTAACCTATGGCACATACTGAGTTAGTTACTGCATGCGTAGTCTCTCTTAAGGCTCTAATTCTGGTGCAGCTTGTTCAGTTCAGTCAAAAATAAGCTTTCCCTTATTTCCGAATGAAAGAGAAGTTTCACCATCAAGTCTTACCAACCACACAAAAAGTAATAGAGCATGCTTTTAGATGGCAACTCTTCTTGCTATGGTAGAACAGCTGTATCAACTTAGTCTTCATCTAAATAACTGTGCATTTCACTGCCCCTCACCTCTCATGATGAAGTGAAGTTCAACACCAGATTAAGGCAGTGAATAAGGAAGAGACTTTTTTCTGTAAAAATAAATTATTCTATTTAACTCCTGCAGTAGCTTGGACCGTGCACACATATTCCTCAGCAAAGGGCACCTGGCCTCATTTGGTGGACAGCTTGCATAAAGCCGATTACTGTCTGCAGAAACCCCTGCACAGCTCTGGATCCATCTGTCTGATGTGGCACTGAAAATGGGGTTACATATCCAACAGAATCCTCCATATAAAATTCCAGAGGTTTCAGGAGATTTTGGAGGGGGGAGTTCCAGAAAGCAAGAGCTGTTTGGTCACTCGCATTATAGAAAATGGACCATTAAAAACTAGTAATTTGTGTGCAATTTCTATAGAATACAAACTGCTTAATGAGGAAATAGCCTATTAAAAGTACAAATATGTACAGAAGAATTCCTACACTACAACATCAGCAAGGCCTTTTGCAAGGTATTATGGAGACTTGTATCAAGCTTAGTATGGGAAGGCAGTATATAAAATGGTTGATGGGCAAGTCTCAGTGCAGAGGATGAAGGTAAGCAGGAGAGGCAACAGCCTAACACTGCAGCTCCTCTTCGTTCTCAGGAAGTCGTGTATCTGAAATAGAGCTCTGAGCACTGGCGTGGGCTGTAGAACTGAGAACTTCTTCAAAACTTCCCCCGTTTGGGTTTGTTCCACCAACCTTAGTCTGAAATAAGGTGAATAGGGGATAAAAACAGTAAGTTTCCTCATTCCAGTCCAGAAGGATTCCAATTTGGCTTCTATTTTCCCCTAAGAAATGTTCAAAATTTTGTTTTAAAAGAAAGCAAGACAAGCTGAGAAGGCACACATGCCAAGATGCAGAAAGCAGATTATTGGCTCTTTTAAAGAGCAGGTAGTAATTCAAAGCACACTGGAGCCAATAATTCTGTGGACCCTGTTGAGTTTAATAGCTATTGCATGGCTTTCTGTAATTGCAGGAAACAGAACTCAATGATCCAAAGTAGCCTCATCTGGTGCTATGCACCTACAAACAGGCTGTGCGAAACAGCTATGTTTCATTCTCATTTCGGAGGACAGTGATTTGTTGAGGTGTTTCAGATCACTATTTGTTTCGATTCAGCTGAATCTGTTTTGGAGTTTCAATGCTGTTTCAGAGATTCAGATTGGCCAGGGAGAGGCAGGCACAGCCGGGTGGCTGCAGGTTCTCCCATGGCTCCTCCGAATGAGCCTGGCTCTGCCCTGGTGGGGGGAGCGGTGGGAGAAGCCCTGCCTGGCCCCAGCCTCCTGGCACTTAAAAAAAAAACAAAACAAAACAAAAAAAAGCCCCGCAGTCACTGGCTGCAGCAGTGGCAACTGGGGCCTCTGGACACTTGTGGCAGAGCCCCCCCGCCTATGCAGCGCAGGGCAGTGGGGGCAGCGGGGATTGTCCCCACCCCACCTGGCACCCATGGTGTGGGTGTAGTATGGCTCGGCAGGTCACTGCACGATGTCTGGGGCCACTGGGGCCAAACCGTGCCAGGCTCCAGCTGACTGCCAAGCCACGTTGCACCCGTGCAACCATGCAATGTGACAGCTACTGCACAGGTGCCAAACCGGGGGGCGGCGGGGAAATCCTCCCTGCTCCCTACTGCTCTGTGCTGCGCAGGGGGGCTCTACCACAAGCCCTCAGAGGCCCTGATCACCGCTGCTACAGCTGGTGAGTGTGGGGCTATTTTTTCCCCCTCCAAAGTGCTGGTGGGCTGCATGGGTGATGGGGCCGGGCAGGACAGCTATGGGGGCTTCTCCCACGGCTCCTCTGGCTGTGCCTGCCTCTGGGGGTGCCATGGGAGAAGCACCTATAGATGCCTTGCCTGGGCGCTTCCCCCACTCAGCCCCAGCCTCCCGGCACTTTAAAAAGAAGGCTGCAGGGCTGTGCTGGACTCTTCCTGGGGCGCCTCCAAAACATTCTGAAACATCCGAAACATTTCCGAAATGCATCGGGTGGTTTCATTTTGTTTCGGAGATTTTTTTGAGCCTTCCGTTTCATTTTGGATTCAGTGTTTTGGGTGCCGAAATGGGCTAAAACACCTCTGAAACGAAACGGCTGCCGAAATTTCACACAGCCCTACTACAAACTCCATCCTAAAGCTGAAGTAACATGAATAAATGCTGGCAACCAGGGAAGGAGTGAAGAAGATGATCTTAATTACATGAACCATAGTCCTTCAGTCTCCAAAGGATTAATCCCAGATAATCCTTTGCTTCATCAGCTAGTACAAACTAGATTATCACTTCAAATTTCCTGTGAATGTGGCAGCACCAAAAAGGGGCTTCCAAGCTGGTGTCTGATATAGCCCTGAGCTAAGGTGATCGCTCTAGAATCACAGAAAATTAGGGTTGGAAGGAACCTCAGGAGGTCTAGTGATCCAATCCCCTGCTCAAAGCAGGACCAGCCCCAACTAGATCTCATCTAGCCAGGGCTTTGTCAAGCCAAGCCTTAAAAACCTCCAAGGCTGGAGATTCCACAACCTCTCTAGGTAGCCTGCTTCCAGTGTCTTCTTCCTAGTGAGAAAGTTTTTCCTATTATCTAGCCTAAGTTTCCCTTGCTGCAAAATGAAACCATTGCTCCTTGTTCTGTCATCTGCCACCACTAAGAACAGTCTAGCTCCATCCTCTTTGGAACCACCTATCAGGTAGTTGAAAGCTGCTAACAAATCCCCCCTCAGTCTTTTCTTCTCCGGACTAAATGGGCACTTACCCACATGCGGCGAGTCTGCTCTGACACTGGAAATCCATCACATTGGAACTGGTGCATATTATTGATGTGCGGGTGGCTAAGTGGCGCAGCACGTGTCAGCACTGAGAAAATGGTGGGTGGTGCGGTTTGAACTAAAACACGTTTGATGTGCTTTAGTTCAGAGCGCACCACTGCCCTTTTCTCAGTGCTGACGCATGCCATACTGCTCATACCCGTATCTGATGCAGTGTCAGGAACTTTTAATTAGTGCAGATTGCTAATTAGAAGAGCCCAGTGCTATGCCAGGAACGTGTAAAAATGCCCCTTAAGCCCAGTTCCTTCAGGCTCTCCTCAGAAGTCATGTGCCTCAGTCCTCTAACAATTTTTGCTGGACTCTCCAATTTGTTTCACATCCTTTTTTTGGCGGGGTGGGGGGAAACGGGACACAGTACTCCAGATGTGGCCTCACCACTGCAGAGTGGAGGGGAATAATTACTATCAGAAATGACAACCTGTTCAGTACAAACTTTCATATAGTTCTGAAGGTTTAAATTCAGAAAAAGCAATTTCATGAGCTGGAAAATGGACCCTTCTTACATGGAAAAGAACATTTAAAAGTGATCAAAGATGTGAGGCCAGATCCTCAGCTTGTGTGAATCAGTGTAGGTCTACATATCCATTTATACCACTTAAGGATATGACCCCAGTGGGTTCCTTCTAAAAGGATTTATGTTGGCCAACAACGGTTTATTTGGTATTCAAGGAGCCAGGAAAGGACATTTATCTGCATATTGCCTTCATTTTCTTTCAGTGCATAGAGCTCCATGAAATCCTTGACAGAGCAGTGAAATCCAATCTGGTTTTGGCATAAATGACAGTGATGACTAAGCTGTCACACTTTAACAAACACAGCCACATAATTCAGCCCCGAATCTTTACCTTAAGGCTTGTAACAGTGGTCTCAACCTTTTCCTCAAAAGATTTGAAAGTTGGAGAATTCCTAGGAGGAAAAACATAATGAAAAGAAAAAGTTACATTCAAAACTCAATTGTGCCCAGTAACAGTGGGGGTCACTCACCCAACTTCCACCAGACAATGATGCCAGCACAAAGGTTGGTTTCCAGCAAGTACACATCAGTAATCTACTGGCAGTCATTTGTGTTGCTATTTGTCAAATCCAATTGCCCGGATCTGATGAGCATTTTTTTAGCAACAAATTTGCAAGGGCATGTAACAAATTTAAATTGAAAAAAATACTGTGATACAGTTACCATCTTATGATGCATTTTTACCATAATCTTCCCCTTAGTAACCAAGGAATGCATGCTTTCACTCTGCATTTGCTTGGTTTTATCAGGTTATGTAGCAACATTCAAATGACTGTTTTGGGCCCCTGAATAGTAGTAAACTAAATGAAAATGGCAATTTGTTTTAAAGACAATAGCTACAGACTGACAGAGGTATTTAGGTTAGATGTCAAGTTAGGGGCACTTTTACATGTGCTCTGGGCGTGGGCAGTCCTTTAATTAGAGCGGCTCCAAGAGCTGCTCTAATTAACGTGCTGCTGCGTCTCCTGTATCAGCATCCCTGTGCTTCAAAACGGTGATGGGGGCACTTGAACTAAAGCTTGTTCAATGAGCTTCAGTTCAAGCACCCCCACCCCACCCTCCCCCATTTTGAAGTGTGGGTATGCTGATACACGAGCTGCAGGAGGCTGCTGGAGGCAGACTCAATTGAGTTGGCTCCAACGCACTTGAATTCCAGTGTATCAGAGCAGCTTTGGCACTTGTGTATAGGTGACCTAGGTATTTAAATGCCTTGGAGGATCTAAATCGTCAGTGCCTTGATCCCATGAGGTGCTGACTACTTTCAAGCAGACACTGGAGATGCCTGGCTTTTGGCAGGAAAAGGCCTTATTTTACACCCAATTTTGTCCTTGATTATATGGTTTTGCATTTGATTCCCAATAAAAGCAGACCCAAGCCCTTTGTTTGGCCCTTTGTCCCAGGAGTGGGGAAAAAGTGACCTGCAGCAAACTGAAATTTTCAAGGACAGTGATAATCTGCCAATCTGCCTGGGAATTATATTCTTCCCCTCCTCTCCCCCCTGCTCCCAAATATAAAGCACAGCTTTTTGGGGGGTTTTTTGCTTTTTTTTTTTTTTTAATGTTTCAATTTTTAATGTCACTCACTGAAAAAAAAATGTGATTAACACAGTGAACATAAGTGCTGTGATCACTATGCTGTTTAGGGCCAAAACATGGACTATCCTGTAGGGAGGAGGAAAGTGCCCCTTAGTTTCCCAGCTGGGCTCCCCCATTCTGGCCTACAGTAGCTTCCTTGGGGCTGTGACTTGTGATCCCCCACAGGTAGGTGGGGTGTAAGTAAGACGGACCAGGGAGTAGGTGGAAATTTGACTGCCCTTAAAACACGCTGGGGCTAGAAACAGGTATCCTCATTGGAGTGTTATGAGTTGTGCTGTGACATCTCGCGGCAAAGCTGATCATGCTTCAGGTTTGTCTGGGGCACGTCTGCAAGTGAGGGGAAAATCCTCTTTTGTAGACAGGCTCCCATGTCGGGAAGCAGAATCCCCCACAGGGGTTTCCCCACATTCGCCTGCAAGTGGGTCCCTCCCCTCCACATTTGAAGGTGCACATGTGGTTATCCCTCTGTAAAGGATATCCCCCATGCATGTCTGCAAAGAGGAGAGGTGGGGACTCACACTCTCTGCTCCATGTTTGCAGCCTGCGGTCTGCACTGCTGCTAGGAATGCGAGCCCGGTCGCCTACAGAGGGACTCCGTCATACGCTGTACGAGGTGTTTGTCTGCAAGCCCTGACTTACCTGCTTACCAAGATGTATCTCTGAGAAAGTGAGGCTTCTGAGATGCTCCTAAGGCTTGAAGGGCCTGATCCTGCCCGGGAATTGTAGTGGCGTGCAGGACCAAGCCCCTCAAGCCCAAGGAGCCTCTACCCTGGGGAGGCTGGAGAGCCCATTCAACTTAATGCTGCTTGAGCTCTTCCACCCTAAGCAAACCCATGTGGGCCACAATACATTGGCCCAGTTTGTTACCACTTTCTACTGTGGCCACCAATTTGAGCATTTGTGGCACGACAGAAGGTATGGTTGTCTGTTTGCTTTCACTTTGTGCTGCCATAAACATTTTTTATGGAGGCATAAAGGTGACACCTGTTTCCACCCTGGGAAACAAAGTTGAGTCAGGGCAAAGGGAGAAATAAACTACAGCAGATAAAGGGATAGCACAGTATAGTATCCCCCAAAGTCTATCCCCAACTCCACAACTTAATCCATATTGCAATTCCCATCTATTATTATTGGAGAGAGAATGTGCAACAGGCTTCTGTTGCATCCTCATGAACTGCCTTTGCAGATTTACACTAACAAGTTGGGAAGAGGTATTTTGTCCTTCACTTTTCTTTTAATTGAATTTTTATTTATTATAATGAGTTTAACAAAAGACACTTAAAAACAAAAGCCCCAGATCCTACTCCCAGTCACAGAAGAGTACAGTTCCTATCAGAATTAGTTCTGACAATTATACTTGCATTTGTTCCCTATATGGATTGATGCATATAAAAGGGCAGTACTTAACAGCATAGCCTAGCCTGGGGTATCCTGTCCATGAGACCACATGGAGAGAGGGGAGGAGAAAGGGAACAATGACAGCTTGCTGAAGACGTGCATTAAAAAATCCAAAATATTATATAAAACATTAATTTATCTGACCATATCTGCTTCTACTTGCCCTATCCTTGAAAGATCATCAGAAGTATTCTTGTTTGAGTTCACAAACAAATGATGCACTTTTCTCTATCTTTAAAGCTGATGGCATGAACAGCCAGAGCAAGATGGAGGTAGGCTATCATCAGGTCACACACTGTGTGCCTGCCTTCAGTGCGATGTCCGTGGTAAGCAAGGGAAGGTGCCATCTGTTGTAAGGTGGCAAGACTGGGTTTTTTCAGTCAAAAAGTATAACTACTACTTTTCCAACAGGAAAGAACAACTGTGTCCTTCAGCAAAAGAAACTTCTGTGCTGAGAGCATGAGCTAGAGCCCACTGGAGTTGACTTCAATAAGCTTTGGATTATGTCTTGACTGTGCTGAAATGATCTAATTTTCACATTCAGTAATAGAGGGTATAAACATCTGCTCCCTTAAATTTCTCCCAGTGGCCTCTCACGTGCCTAAATACATGTACACAGTTTTAATAGGTAATACAATTAGAAAGAACCCAAAGGCCTGCATTCACACGAGTAATCTTAGTGAGTTATGCGAGGCTACTCAGCTGAGTAAACACTGCAGTCAGGCCCATTGAATGCAAATAAAATATGCATTGTTTTACTTCAGCATAGCTTAGATACAATAGCGTTGGCACATTACCTCATAGCAGGCATGCTTATAGAATGGCGAATAGAGTAACTGCAGTGTGAAAGCAAAAGAGAAGGGAAGAGAAAAAGACAGCACTATGAACACCACTTTTCAACATGAGCAAGACAGTCTACAAGGCATTAAGGCATTTTCATTTATTTTATGTATTCACGTTTGCTGGAACTTAGCTCCTGCTGGAGAGAAGTCCCTGAGTTTATTTTCTGAAGATCTGTCTACCCCAGTCTCAGTATCACTGATCAAGGAGACTGAACAGGCCTCAAAAGAAACTTTGAAAAAGACTTCCTGCTAGCACTCATGATCATGGACTCAAAGCCTTCCTAGTTCAAAGGCATGCTATGGTACCATGCACATGAGCATGGAGCTACAGTTTTATTCTTTAACTGAGAGGTACAAGCCCTGTAAAAAGCTTCACAGTGCACGAAGAACTTGTATTTTAGGTTTTCATGGTGAACGTAGAATTGCATTTGAAATGTAAAAGTGGTTTCAGCATGTAGGTTAGGAGGACTTTCTACACTGCAGGAATAGCTGCTGTACCAAATATTCATATATTGCTACCTTCACTATTGATTGGTAGCTAGATCCCAATCCTAAGTAGGTCAGAAAGAAACATGGCACCAGAATTTGGTTGGTATCAAAGTTGGCTGATGTGCACTGGCTAGGTACAAGGAATCAAAACTCATGGTAGAGGTGATATCTTTTATTAGACCAACTGGATGTTTGCAAAAAAATGTCTTTAATTGCAAGCTTTTGGGCACAAGCATCCTTCAGGCATAGGAGAAAAGATTGTAAAAGTTCTCCTGGGTTGAAATGGAAGTTCACATTTCATAGGAGACCTGAAGCTGTGATAAAATCTCCTGTTTGGAACAGTTCACACCTTCAACTCTCCTATGAAAAATGAACTTCCATTTCTACCCAGGAGAACTTTTACAATCTTTTCTCCTATGCCTGAAGAACAGTACTTGTGACCGAAAGCTAGTTGATCTAATAAAAGATATCATCTCTAACACAAGTTCCGATTCCTTTTTCCTCTAGGCCAAGATGGCTACAACCTGGATACTTGGCTAGGTACAGACATTACAAAAGCTAAGGCTGAATCAATCTAAGTTGCACAGTTTTCTGTAAGTGGTGTAGTTTAGGTCAGAAGCAAACAGAACACACATTTGCCCTTCGGTGGAGAGGGCAAATCTTAGATTGGACTCCTCCATTTTTAAACCAGTCTGTGTGTGCCCAGCTTCTGTTATGGGCATAGACTGGTTTCTTGTGTGGTGAACTTGTGTTCTGCTATGGGTATACACTGGTTTCTGATCACTTATACCAGTGATGGAATAAGTGGAGGTATAATGCCTCCACTTAAACCTGGCCATTAAGACAGACATTCATATAAATGGTACATGAGCAAGTTACTTCTCAGTTGTACATACACTTAAAGAGATTTCAGATATACACTAACAATCACCCTCTTGTACACAGACACAGAATCAAAAATTAGAACTGACTCACCTTCCTGCTAACGCAAACATTTCTCCATTAGGTATGTTTTAATCTTTTGTTCAATGAGAATTTAAAATGTCCCTGATATGCTGTGTGATGCATAATGATGCTGAATGCAATACAAGGGTTGTTCAGTTATTTCACACTGCTTTTACAAACTGCAAATCTTACAAACATGAACATTTCACAAATGCAGTATGATCATGGACCCTGGGTTTCAGCTCTCCGGTAAGGCTCGGAATAATTAGCAAATCAGGATAAACAATCAAATTTTCACCTAGTTCTTCCACATAACAAAACAGTAGAAATCAAGGTTAAGAAAATGAGATGCTGATCTTCAAACCACAAAACAGTACCAAAAATAAGCTTTAAGCAAAGAGAATATTATCGTCCAAAATTACATTAATTCAGGATTCACTGAGATGGGTTACATGATGGATTCTAGCTGCACAGAGTATGTGTGTTGAGCTTCTCGTAGGCAGGCTATTTTCTTTTATTTCATGCGAAAAAAAACCTAGAGTATATTATTGATTACTTTAAATAACTGAACTGCTACAATAGGAAATGAGAAGCTACAGCCTTTCAGGATGGTGAGGGGGTCTTCTGTTAACAGTAACTCAGAAACCTGAGTTCTCGGTTGCTGTAGGTGCCTATAAGGCTGCCAGAGCTTGGCTTTCTAAGAAGATGAAGAGAGCTGGGAAGAGAATACCAACTCTGTTTAGTAGAGTATTTCAAGATTTTTCAATTTGTTTTCGATCAAAGGCAACCCTTCTTTCCCCCTCTCGTCTCTGTCTTCCACAATTTTGAAATTCTCAATGGAAAGAAGCTCAGCTCGACTTGTGGATCAAATGGAATGCATTTATTTATCTTGAATAACAATGTTGGCAAGAAAGACGGCACCATGTTGTGAGGTATAAACCAAACCAAAAACAGTGGTGGCATTTAAGAGAAACGTGCATCTTACCCAAGTGAATGTGATCTGTGGTGGCAGCACAAGGGAAAAACAGCAAGCATTATGAGTTACCCTAAACAAACCTAAGCCAAGAAGCAAAACAAAACAAAACAAAAAAACACCCCAAATGTGTGCCCATAAAAAAGTACCAAAGTGTCCTTAGGAGAAAAAGATACAATCATATGCTTCAAAATTTCCATCCTTGAATTCCCACCAGAAGATCATGTTGAGACTCCTTCAAGGCAAAACATAACTTCTTTCAATAATTTTCACTCATCGGTTTGTTATATAAAACCAACTACACATTTTCATGTGCAGCAGAAAATGAGGTATTAGTCCATTAAACTTTGCGTAGGCTCAGATTACTTCAGCTGTATTAGATCACACTTTCAACAGATGCTGCCTGGTTCAGTAAGAGCTTAGAACAACACACAGCTGACATGGAAGACAATTTTTAGAAAGATAAGGTGGAGGTAGTGGTTTTGTTTATGACGCTGGTAGAACAGCAAGTACATTGTACTAATTAGTGAGGTTTCAAATAAGGCAGAGATTAAGAAGCAGGGCACAACACATTTAAATGATTAATAACGATCTGGGCTCTGATCTAAAATCAAAGGCACTACCCAGTGCATATGAATTAGAACTTGCAGGATCAGGCCTCAATCACTCATACTTAGAAATATTAACCAAAAAGAAATATTAATAAGGAGCGATGCATTTTTAGCGCACATGCATTTTCTGAACCAGCAGCCACTGCTATGTGTGGAAAGATTATAGAAATGGGAGAAGTCTCTAAATCCTAAACTGTATTGGGAACTGTATTAGAGTAAGTAAATGTGCTTGCAAGGGCCTCCGTTCACATTGCATCCAATGTTTAATTTTACGCTTGTAAAATTGCTCATGCTTGTTGTGTACCTCACATGGACTTTTGGAATCAAGCCTTTACATCTTTTTCAAAAGGGCAGTTTAGTATTCTGTTCTCCAGATGACTGATCTACACCCAAATAAAGGGAGCAATTGCACAATCTTCATCCCACCCACCTTATTTGAGGCACTCCTCACATTCCTTGTTATTGCAATCAGAGCTTTCTAAAGACAAAGATGTATGCTCTCTCACACACTTAGCTCATCCATACTGAAACAGAACTAGATTGGTCACAGTCCTAGGCAAAGGTTAGCATGAAGCTACATCATTCCAGGAGTAACCGCAAGAGGCAGTATGTCTTGGAGACACTGCTGTCCATATATCACCCTTTCTCTAGAGGGGGATGGCTGTAAATCATTAGCATTCTCCATTTTGGTTTGTTACCAGCCCTTAATTGGAAAAAAATTACATAGAAACAGTAAGAAAATGAAGGGAAAGGAGGTTAAAAACAGTTTTTACTGTTTTTCTGTAAATAACCCTTTCTTGCTCAAGCATTAGTACTTTCAACACAGATACTGTTTCCCAATTGACAAAAGTTGGAAAACATTAACTGGCTATGAAAAAATGATTTTTTTCCCTGAGTATTTCAAACATAGTCTATTTTCCAACTGGTAAAGGTTCAAACACAGAAAAATATTGGAAAAGAAAAATTGTTATTGGTTCCAAAACAATTTTAAAAAATCCCCTCAACAATTATCTCACTTAGAAAAAAAAATCTTAGAACATAAAAAAGTAAATGTCAATTAAACCCAATCACCCACTGAAAAGTAATTTAGAAGATTTCCGGCCAACTTTAGCTATAGCTTTCAGTACTTTTGCTACTCAAAGTCAAGTAACATATACATTCTTCCACATTTTCCTTCTTTTGCTCAAGATTTATTACCATCTTTCCTTGACAGCCTGAGTGAATAGTTTTTCCTACATAACAAGGGAAGATTCTTATTTAGCACATAACCTGCTACACAAGCAGTAATGGATTATATTTAAAGACAATATCATACACAGAAATAAGTTTGTTTAAATGAGAGGAACAGTCACACACTTAAACAAAAACCCAATCCATATTTGTCCTTGTTTCAGAAAAAAGACGTTTAATTCTCCAATACGAGCAAGATGAGAAGGAGTGGGAGAGAGGGGGAGGATGGAAAGAAAGCTCCATAAACTGCTATAAGCCTTCTAATCTCTTGCATAATGTAAGCCTACATATCAGACAAACAATTGGGATATTCCATGCTGTATATAATGAATTTTCAGCTGGAAGAGGGAAATGCCTGGCAATTTCTTCTTAGTGGTCAAAAAAATCCAATACACAGTTTGAAATAATGACATACAACTGAAAAGGAAAGGGATTGTTTGTTATACTCCAGGAGCGAAACTTATTAAATGCAACTCTATGGAGTACTTTGGGGCCCCTCTACACATGCAGGTGAAGTCTCTAATGCGTGGATCTAATGATTATGTGGCTCTAATGCGTGATCCACATAATCATGCCTTCTGCCATGTCACACATGCACAGCAGGAGGCTGTGGGATTGTGTGTTAGATCCCATAGTGCCTTATTGCCAGTGCAGGGGAAGCCTGATCTTGGGCTCCCCCTGCGCTGAGAAGAAGCAAGCTCCTGTGACTGGGAGGAGCCCTCTCAGCTGAAGGGGCTCCCAGTTGC